AGACAGAAAACTTTGAATGAATCTGACTGTATGATCTGGTTGAATTGTCTCTGTAAACTGCCTTAAGATGACGTGTTGTGAATTGGCGCTATATAGATAAACTGAATTGAAATTGAATTTAACTGAACTTATTGTTAGGGGTCATTGTTTTTTTTTAGATCAAATCCAAGGACTATCCTTACCTTTAAAAAAGGACTTAAGGTTAGCAATTAAAAGTGTTAGTGTGCAATGATATCCAATGAAAGTCTCCATAGCAACAACTAGAGTGATTCATAGAGCGTGTCAGTCTGTGAAATAAATTTCACACTTCAATGAACCACAGCCTCTGCAGCAAATTTGGATGTACAAGTAAAGTATGCAAGTTAGAAATAAAACATAAACCTGAAGAAATGTATTGTTCCGTGATTCTGTGTCACAATTGTCAGTTCTTCAAATCATATACCGGTAGGTATAACTAATTGTTGTTTTGTTTCTTAATTGGCTGTAAATCCTGCAACATTTGTTTTGATTGTTTTTTCCAAGAATTTGAAAGTGAAAATCAGGACCATTTGTCATTTATCTGCCTGTTCTTAAAGCTAAAGTAATTTTTGTGGAAAGCCTTAAACCTTTTTATTATGTTTGCTCCATCTAATCAGCCTTACAACAGCACTCATTAGCTTTCTGGAGTGTATTCCTTTTTTTTCTTCCCTTCTACTTACAAACTTTCTCCTGTTTGTTGTCGAGCAACCTATTCATTCTTGTTTGGCTCCGACTTCATCCATTTGCTAGTTTATTGGTAAAGATATACCTTTAAGGGATTCACATCCTCCTTATTGCTGCAACCTTCCATTTGTTTCTTTTTCTATATTTGCTTCATCCAAGTTTTTGTCATAGTAAGTACACTTTGTGTAAGAAAACAGACAAACAACAGACTTCCTGCATCCCTACAAAAATCTGAAGACACTCAACCAGGAGTAGAATCATGATTCCTGTATCCAAATAATCTATTGTTCTGCATAAAAGACTGCAGACATTTCAATCAAGGAAACATAAAGTCCTCAAAAAGTCCAAAAAAAAAGGCACTACAAAGACTTTAGGAGAAAATGTATACTTTTCAATCATCACACAAGAAAAGAGCAGTGGATTTTGAATTGGAGTCAAATCAAGCCATCTGTGCAGCAACAAAACTAGCCGATCCTTTTTTAAAACCTCCCTCTGTTGGTGGAAAATACACAGAGAAATGCCTCGTTTTCCTGTAACCATGTCTGTTGCAATATGGCTTTGATTAATGGAGTTTAGCTTTTACCTAATAAAGCTTATATCCCTGAAACCTTGGCTAATTTGGTAAAACCTAATGTTCTTGTAGAAGTAGAAAACACAGGTGTTTGAAACATTTTCAAATGATATTTCCCCAATCTATTAATAATTATGCACCAATCCATAAGATATCTCTAAATGTATATATTTGCAAATGCATCACCAGAAGGAGCTGCCACTTGCTTTCGGTATGGAACCGCGTAGTTACAAACTTTTTTAGGTACACGATATTATATACATTAATTCTTAAACACCCAATCCTAATCATTTGGACAATAAAAAACATGCAAATATGCTCCCAACATTTGAAGTCACATAAAGAAGAGTAGGGGGTTCTTTTATTTGTCCATACTGTGATAACCAACTTTAGCTAACTTTAAGTCTTACCAGAAAATGTTAAACTGGACTGGTTTTATCATGGGTTCAAAAAAATAGAATTTAAAAAAGCACACATGGTCATTTATTTACATTTAACTTACATATATGTATATATATATATATATATATATATATATATATATATATATATATATATATATATATATATACATACACAGACTTGAAGTTGGAAATTTCAAACATGGAAAAGTGATAAATAACCTCCACACTGGCACCAAACCCAGCACCCCGTGAAACAGCCAACAACATTTAAAGCACTGCAAGTCTCACTTGTCAGGATGAAGAGATGAATTAAAGTGTCATGTTAACCCAGCAATCGTTAAATTCTGATCTGATTGAGCAAAATCAGAATGAGATTGTATTGCAATAAGTTAAATTTACATGGACAAAATTTCCTGATTGATTGAAATGCATTTGTATTACAAAAGAAAAACAATTGGATTGCACCTTTCATTTGGACTTAGGTGATCAAAATAAACCACCAGTTAGACTACAAATATGTCATGTAAGCACGCAGATGGAAACAGATGCATCTTTAGACTGTTGACCCAACTTTGATTTGTAAATTATGAAGCTGCACTTCAAACCTGCCAGTAAGTGTATCTTGAGCCTTTTTAATAAAAACCCTGAGCTACCTACTTCAGTTAATAGCGGTGTTCTCTTGTCTTAGTGTGTCAAGGTCTAGCATGGCTAATGGCCAAAGCATTGTCATTTTCAAACTGATGCGGTGGTTAGTGCAGCAGCCAACAGCCTACAACACTCAGCATCTTGTCAGTCCTCCTACGGGCAGTGGAGTGGAAATGTTAAGTGCCACTATTACGGATTTCACTGTCAGAGAGTAATTTGCTGGTGTACTGTTGTTATAGTGGGGCATTCCAATCATCACAGTGGTGACATTTGTTGTTTGGACAACAATCAGAGGTGAAAGACAACGAAACTTGAGTCCGTGAAACAGTGCAAACATTTACTCCTTTCTTTTATCTCTTACTCTAAAGAAAGTAAATAAAAGCTTATATTCAAGTAAACAGTTAATAAAAGTTGCTGAGTAGTTAGTTAGATATGCAAGTAGTTAATATATTTTCTGCTGTTAAAAAATAGCTTGCATCCTCATCAAGCATGCATCTAGATTAGCTCTGTCGTTCATGTTTTCTACTTAATATTTAATATTTGTCAGAGTTATTGTAGCAAAAAGAAGACAACAGTATGAGAGATGGTAGAATTAACCAAGATATGCTACACTGAGACATTTTATTCTTTAGTGAAGTAATGTGTGCCTGGGACTTTATGTGCTTGCTTAAGTATGAAGGTAAGTGATATATTCTAGCTATGCTATGATGCCCTATCCCTTTGAAAATGATGTTTTCTTCATTAGAACACATGTGTAGCTGTTTCATCTGGGATTCCTTAAATGCAAATAAATGTCATTTGACATTTGTTCGTCATTTATACATATAATGGTACATTCACACGGAATGTGAAAAACATCCCCAGTTTCATTCTTCTAGCGCCAAATTAAAACAGCGTTAAGTCTGCTAGGGAGACAGAGCGCAGAAGGCAGGGGAGAGGGGGCTACGGCTGGCCGGGAGGGGAACAGCGGTACATAGCGGAAGTCCGCCAGGGAGATGGAGTAGGAAGAGGCAAGCTACTGGAGATGTAATGAGTACAGTGGTAGAGCAGAGAAGCCTGTCAGGGAAACAGAGCAGGAGGGAGAAGTGGTTGGAGTCTGCACTGGAGGTAGGACGACAAAACAGCCCTTCTAAATTGAAACTGCATTTTTAAAAGCCACCCACAAACCTCTTAAGATCATTCCCCACTTCTTTCTATGTCAATATTTGTTCTCTAACTTCCATTTTGATTAAGAGAAGCCCATCTCCGCAGCCTCCTTCACTGTAGCTAACAGCTCCATATATGGTATCAATATATCGAATTCACGGGCTGTGTCCTGCGAAGGACAGATTCATCTGCCGATTGGAAGATTTTTATGCAGCCAACAAATGCAGCCTTCTTTTTGCCCGTTTTGAAGGACAGATCTGGTGTATCTTTCGTAGCCTTGGGTATCCCTTGATTTATTGCGAGTCCAAGCATACCGGTTGCTCCGTGCTCAGAGGAAAAAGGTAAACGGCGGTGAACATAGGTGAATATTGTAAGTGCAGTTTATCCATCCATCCATTCATCCATTTTCTTAACACGCTTAATCCCAAGTGGGGTCGTGAGGGGTGCTGGTGCTGGTCTCCAGCTGTCAATGGGCGAGAGGCGGGGTACACCATCCATCGCAGGGCAACATAGAGACAAACAGGACAAACAACCATTCACATACACTCACACCTCAGGAGAATTTAGAGAAGCCAATTAACCTAATGGTCATGTTTTTGGACTGTGGGAGGAAGCCGGAGTACCTGGAGAAAACCCACGCATCAGGGAGAACATGCAAATTCCATGCAGAAAGATCCCCGACCGGGAATTGTACCAGTGACCTTCTTGCTGCAAGACAGCAGTGCTACTCACTGCGCCACTGAGCAGCCCAAGTGCAGTTTAATATATATATTAAACTAATATATATATATAATACAAGTAAGTGAATATTTCCATGTGGAATTAATTGAGTGAGTAAATGTGTGTGGCTGACATTTAAGCACAAATTCGAATATTTGTACAGTGTGGGACCTTTAAATATGATATGCTTGACAATGGTACTGCTGCTGAAGCTCCTCAAAAATGTTATTAGCACCCAGAACACTAGGGTTCTCACTACTCAGAATTTGAGTTTGCTAGGCGATAGAGCGTACAGGCGATGAAAGCTGGAGAAGGCTGGACCTGTTTGAACCCATAGCCAAAAAACTTCCGGCCTCCTTATTTTCACAGACCTTGAAGGACCTGGTCCAGGTAGACTGGTTCCTTGGAGGATTCAGCCTCTAAAATCGAACACACCCCTGGTTCATTACTGGATTTCATTAGGCGAATGTAAACAAAACTTCAGATTTTTCAACTCCTGCAAATTTCAGTTTGCATATTTATCAGGCAAACAGTCATTTGCTTGGCTAAATTTTCCCCTTTCGCCTCGCTCAGCCTCAATGCTCTCCAGAGCTGCCCTCTACATAGCAATAACATGTCAATCCTCAGCTCCAGCTGTGAAATTCACATTTGATGTGAACATATCTTAACAAAATTTGATCAGACATATTTATGCTTTGTTGATAACTCCTTAAAACAAAGACTGAATGAGAAAAGTACTCTTTGAAACAGAACCACTTTAAACTTTTTTCACACCATGAAGTACTATAAAATACAAAGAATTTTACAGCTACCTCTGTGAGAGCTTGATGAATGAAACACAAAGTTTCAGGAGTGACCTCCCATGGTGACTTCTCCTCTACCATGATGGCATCCAGCGTTGCCTTCTCAAGGATAACGTCGAAGGAGGCATCCGGGAAGGAGAGTTGGCGAACGTCCATCTGGTGCCAGGTCATACCGGGATGGCTGCTGTACCTGGCACTCATAAGGCCAATGCAAACTGAGGAATAATCTATGTTGGTGATTGCATGGTAGCCGGCATTATACATGTCTCCACTCAAACCACTGTTTCCACAACCTGAGGGAACAAGTGAAAACAAGATAAGAGACCAATTGGATGACTCTAAACATACAGAAAACAGCTGAGAAGATCAGAAAAATGAATAGCAACAGCTGAACATAAAAACCGAGGACATTTTTTTTTTTTTGGAATAAAAAGCAATAAAAAAAATCAGTTCCTCTAATTGGCTGTCATTAAAGGCAAACTGTTGAAAATCTGTCAACATTTCTCACAATAAGCATGGGGTAGTTCTCAGTTTAAAAGTGGAACACAGTTTTAAAATGAAAAGATTCAAAAAAAATAACTATATGTCCTGCATACTGTATGTCCGTACTTTTCCTACAATGTTGCTGTTTAATTTGAAATATCTAAAGATAAGATAACCAATTAGATGATCTGATGTCAGAACTGGCTCATTACTTTGAGCAGTGAGCTGTGATGATTCTGTTGCAGTAGTGCACATGGCAAGTGTGAGCTGTGGCAATCATGTCGTGTATATTTCGCAACTTGTCAAAAGAATCCTAGGCAGGCTCACCAAAAAATGCTTAACACAAAGCACAGTCCACAACAGCTTAGGTGATATTTCACATATCAGGAAGCACATTTGAAGTTATGCTGCCGTGCAACAAAAGTTGGCTTTTGAGTAGATTTATGGAGCGTCTTGTCTCAAGTCAAAACATTTGCTTTGTGACTAAAAAGCTGAGAGGCTTTAAAAAAATAATCATGATTTCAACCTATGGATAAGAGGTGGATGATTTGAAAGCCAGGGAATGGAAGTAAAATTAAAGAGCATTGAAGAGAGTTTCAGATGTAACACGATGAAAATAACCAACTGAATGTGGCAGCTCACCTTTTGCCTACAGTGACTCAGACTGTGTAAATGGAGGAGGAGGAGGAGGAGGCAGAGGAGTAGGGTGGCATGGAAAAGAGGCAAAGAGGAAAAAAAAAAGAGTAGTAGAAGGAAGAGTTATGGTGGACATATAGTCACTTTAAGCAAAAACTTACAATCTGTGAAAGCATGAAATGGGAGTATTTTGATTACATTATTCCAGTTTGGGTACATGTTCACCTATTTACAGGGTTCTGGGTGCCATAGGTGTGGCTGTGACTTTTGGCAGAACGCTTGCACCGACACCTCAGCTGCAAACGTGTGGCTCCTGCTTGTTAACACCTTCCTGCTTCCACTAATTACCACCCTGCAACAGCTTCACAAATGTGAGCGTGTGCCAGAGAATCCAGGATGATTCAGTTTGCAGTCTCACACTAAACAACATGTTAGTAACCTATTGAGATGCGTGTTTGCTTGTCTGGGCGCTGTACATGCTGAAACCTTATGTTGCACAGCCACAGGTGGCAGGAATGGAGCAGGAGAGAGAAAGAGATATTAATAAATAGGGATTCAGCAGTAGAAAAACAAGCCACTAATATGTATTAATCAGCCACCTTTGCACTGATCAGCTCTTACTGGTGATCTGCATTTCAAATAAATGAAGAAAAATGGTGACATTTCTCTCCAGCCTGCTAGTTAAAAGCAGAGAAACTGGAAACGCACACTGGTTTCATTGGTAAAAATATTGAAAATCAGCAACAACAATAAACCTGGGACTTCATTATTCAGACAAACAAGAATATTTATGTGTGCACAATTATGAGGCATTTATTAGTCTTCATATTCATGTCACACTTGCTGATTTCTGTATAAATGAGTAATAATCCAATAATTCAAAGTTTACAAATAATACAGATCTATATTAACAAGATATTTCTTGATAAACGATGTGTAGGAGAACTTCTCCCTACTTTGTGACTTAACCATCTCCAGCCCTTGTGGCAAAGATAAAGGCTTAGTTTCCATCCCGTATTTGACCCCACAGTGAGTCATATGTTCTCTCCAAAGGGTTTTCCCAATAAACACAATGAGGTCTGTGTTGTGTTTTTCATGGCATGCCACTCTTAGGAAGCTTGTCACCTGATGCATCATTCCTGAGGGTCGTTGAGATAAATTTACTTGCAACACTCCTCAAGGTCGCAGCTCTTATTATAGGTCAGTGAGATCAGTGGTTGGTATTAAGCCTAACCTCCAACCCTTTCAAACACACCCCAAAATAAGATACATGCAGAAATCCTAAAGAAAAACACTGTTTAAAATGTAATATGTTTTCACATAAAGTCAGAGAGAGAGTCTGATTGCAGTATAGGATGGAGTATCTAATGATAGCATGTCTCATTCCAACATCTGCATTTTTCTACAGGAGATCAAGGCAAAGCAGACCTCAAAGAATGATATACTTATAAAATCACAGCTGTGATGTTCTGGTTGTGCCCATCTAGGTACAATTGCATCATTATTATGCTGTTTAAATTGCCTGGTTTTGATGGTTTAATTTTTTTTTGACAACAACAACAAAAAGGAAACAATTTCCAGATATAAAGGTTTAATAATCACACATAAGTGTGCATGCACCGGGTCAAATATGTTTTGAGGCATCTTTTGATTCCCTTTCAGCAGTCAGTTTGGTGTGAATCTGTTTTCTACATTCCGACTTGTCTACATTTGCCCGTAGTGCCGTTTTGCAAATCTGTCAGACAGTGAGGACGTCTCTTCAGCGCAGCCCTCTGCAGTGATCCGAATGGTTTCCTGTCAAATTTAGTTCTGGTCTGATGAACTAAATTAATTCAAAAGCTTTAATCTTCCTTTCATGAATCATTCCTTGGTTCATTTAGACATGTGCCCAATGTGTTACTAAAAAGTTTAACTACTTGGCAACCTCTTTGGCCATTTTTTCTGGGCTTTAACTAAAAAAATAAATAAATAAAAACTACTGAGAGCTCTAATGTATGGCAAGGATAACCAGATTTAAAATCAGGTTGGTGTAAACTCAAGAAGCACAAATGCACAAAAGCATGAGTTTAAGGATGAGCTTAGATTCCTTCCCTACATCGTAAATTGTAAGAATAAAATAAGCTTTGATGTTTCATGTTGTTACATCATTTTAACAGAGGTGTGTTCACAGAAAAATGGAGAAACTATAAACTGCAAGTAAAGAGAGAACACAGACTGATTGGATTATTCAAAATGGAAAAGAAGAGACTAAAGTTAGAGGTGTTATATTATCCTGTTTCAGATGCCCATGTGAGTGTGTGATGGAAAAATGAATGCTCTTCAAAATGTTTCCTAACACTCAAAAAATCATAACACGAAAACATAAATACATAAAACAAGTAAGCACTGAGCTACTGAGTAGCTTGATGAGTAAACAAAGGTGTTTGCTTTTCTGTTTGCATAAATACAGAACATTCTAAAATGGTGTAAAGACATATTTTTCAGTGCAAAAATGATGGCCATAGATGGACATGGTAACTTCCAGTCCATCAATGGTGGGATATGGAAGAGGTGGTCTGGAGTCTGCTCCAACAAATCCTTTGATATTTAAGAACAAGCTGAACATGTGAGTGACAGCTGTGGAAACCTCTGAGGTAATCCCCAGGAATAACGCCAGATTAGTCTGCTGATAAATGGGGGAGGGGCGGACTAGTGGTTAGGGCATTGGGCTTGGAATCCTGAGGTTGTGAGTTTGAAACCCACTCCCAAAGACTGCCAATCTGAGTCTTTCTGCAAAGACCATTAACCCCTGATTACTCCCCGGGCACTGTACAGTGGCAGCCCACTGCTCCCCAAAGGGGATGGGTTAAATGCAGAGAGTTAATTTCTCCATTGTGAGATCAATAAAGTTCAATTTATTTATTTATTTATTTTTATTTTATGATGAGAAAAGCGTGGAAAAGGGCCAAATAAAAATTTCACATGCATCTTGCAAATTAAAATAATGTTTTTAATTGGATTAAAAAATTTCAGTCGGTCAAATAAACTATATATTGGGCATTTTTCAAGTAGTTAATTATTATAAAAGTGTTTTTCAGAGGTTAAAAACAAAAGGACAGACATTAATCACTTCAGATACGTATTGAAATTATTCAGATAATTAGACAGGAAACAAAAAAAAACATATAGCAAGAGACAATAAAACAATCAGGTATTAAAAGTATGAAAAAATCAATCATTCAGAATGAAGAACTGTGGAATGGTGTTAATTATTTAGATTGACGGGTTAATGGCTGTGATATATGAAAACTGTATAAGAAGAGATCTAAAATGATGATGTATAAGTAAACATAACAAAAGTTAGAATATTAAACATATATTTTAAAGGATCATCAATGTCTTACACAGCAATAAAAACAAATTAAAGCTGCTTTTGTTTTAAAGAAAATAAAAAAAAAATTGAGAATGGTATAAAAATGAATTTAAGAAGCAGACTGAATTAGTATAGGGATAGGTAATCGCGTCATCTATTCCACTTAAGTTTAGAATATATACTACAGTAAAGAAAGTCAAAGTTTGATGACAGATTTGGAGGACATGTCTGGTCAAGGAGGGGTGGGTGAGTGAGTGGGTGGGTGGGGAACCCCTGTGCTTCAGCCAAGCAATGTGAAACATCCAAGCCGCTAGCCATGAGCTGAACTGAACTGAGCACAACAGTGGAAACTCCATGATGTCAGAGGCATTTGTGGTATTCATCCATATGCCAGATTGGTTCCGACACATTAAGGATGGTGACCTAGGCCCATGCTGATGAAAGGTGATGTTCATATGAACACATAGCAACACAGAGCTCAACCAACCCCCTAAACACCAAGGCTGAGGGCAAGCCCGGGGTAAACTGATGCCATGATGACACCTCGCTAAGTTTAGTTGTGACAGTTGTAAATGTTAACCAGTGGAAAGCTCCCATGTGGAGCGTATTTGTTTTTGTGTCACTCTGTGTGTGCATGTGCATTAACTCTAAGCATCATGTAAGTGCATGATGGAGCCAGAGTTTATGTAACTCATATTAACCTACATCAAATAAAGATAAGAAAGGAGTGGGATTTTCCAGCATGTACACAAGTGTGGAGCCACACTAAGCATCTTAGTCTAGTCATAAACACTAACTGGAAAGCAGTTAAACTCCCTAATT